CGGTACCCTGCTCGCCCCAGCTGCGGCCCAGCGCCCCGCACTGCCCAGGGGAGGGGGCTGGCGGGCACCCCCGGCCGGGATGCCAGTGCCGGGAGCCCGGTGCCCGGCGCTCCTTCCCGCGCGGCGCCTTTATAGCGAGTGGGCCGGGCGCTCACTAATGTTTAACTCGGGGCCGAATCGTGCGAGCGCCGAGGGACCGCGGCCAGAGCAGCGGAGCAGGAAGCCGTGTGTGTCGGCGGCTCGCGGTGACTTCTGCCTGCTCTCCGGCTCGGAGAGCTCAGTTAGGAGGAGACGCCGACGATGAAGGTGAGTGAGTAGCGCGCCCCTCACTTCTCCAGCCCCAAGATCGAGTTGTAGGCGCCCCTTTACCAAACTCTCCCCAGGCCACCCAAAAGCTCGCGGAACGGGACGAGGGACTCCCCTCAGGCGAAGCCCCAAGGCCAGCTCCTTCACCTCGCTCAGGGACCCGTGCGGTTCCTGCTAGGACCCACGCACCGAGCTTTGGAGGTCCCGGAGAGCCACCCCCAAAACGTACGCTCGAACCCTCGCTGGCTTCAGACGGGCGGGAGTAGAGAAACCAACGCCCAGAGCCCACAAGTTCAAGGGTACACTCCTTAGCGAACCCCGACTGGCGCACTTGAAACCCTCCAGCCCACTGTAATGCTTTTAACGCTTGCCTATCTCTGAGTCCCGCTGCCTCTGGAGCAGCCCAGGCCCTGACCCTCCTACCCAAACTGGGGCCAAATGCTTCCCTCTAATTGGACATGATCTGACCGGCTTGCAGACACCATGGAAGGTTCTCCTGGGACTGCTGGGTGCTGCTGTGCTTGTCGTCGTCGTCACCGTGCCTGTGGTTCTGCTGAACAAAGGAAGTAAGTTTGAAACGTCTGAAAAAGAGACAGTTGGAGATCAGGGTCAGGCTCCGCGTCTCATCACACTGAGGGGAACAGGAATTTTGCTGGGGCATTGGACCAGTGCACCGGGGTTTAGCAGAGAGGGCTCCCCTGACGTCGCTGCGTCTTTTTGGGGAACTAAATTAACTTCCGGGGCCTCCAGTATTAGGGCTGCAAGCCTTGAAGCCGCCACGTTTTGTTATGTATAACAAATGCATACTTCCTGAAATTAGGGGGAAGCCTTAAGATTTATTTCTGTTAAATTTGCATTAAATTTGAGATGTTTTAAATCTACATATAGTTTTTTTTTAAAAGTTTGTGATCTTCAAAGGAAAAAAGGTGGTGTTTAAATATCCCAAACACAGCTGTAAGGATGTCATAAAGGGAGGTGGAAGATGGAAAAAAAAGCCCCCAAATTTTCCTTCAGGGATGTTGGGCATTCATCAATTGGAGGGTCCAGATGCAAGGAAGTAACCATCGGACCAATTTAGGAGTGCTGCAGAGCTGCCATACAGCTGGCATGCATGATACTACTCAGAAGTGGCTGGAATCAGTGATGTTTTGGTGGATTCTTTCATTTAAAACCACCTTTATGTCTTTTTAGTTTGCCTGAATGTTTCAGTCTAGCCCCAGCTTTTAATATAAAATACTCAGATAATGGAATACACACTTGTAGGTGAGGGAGAGATCACCTACAACCCCCCCCCCCCCCCCCCCCCCCCCCTAAGCCCTTTGGCTGGATCTAGGCACCAAATTGACACAAGGCAGATTGACAAGAGAAAAGCATACAAGTTTTATTAGTTTTTCATGTACATGGGGATATTCACAATGGCTTGAAATTCGAACTGGCCAAAACAAATGCTTTTATACATTTTAGACCAAGAATGATAAATTTGTGAAGAAATGACAGGCCAAAGGGGCTCTGGCTAAGGGCAGCAAATTCTAAGGGAGTTGCTAAGAGATATATGTGGGTGTAAAGCTAGTGGAAGATAAGAATTACCTTGGAATAAATAAACTTGGAAAGTTTATTTATTCAGATCCATTGCAGCCCCAATTCCCAGTCTGGTTATAAGGGCTAGTTTCATGCCCTGGTACAAAGAGAGCACCCTTCAGAGGATGAATAAACAGAAAAGAACAATTCTAAGCAAGGTTCCTCCACATTCCATTAAGCCAGTCTCCCATCTCTAAGAGTAAGTTCATCCAATAAAATGGTTTATCCTCATTTATTTGATGAAGAATGTTTATTTTGTCTTTTAAAAGGTGCAGATTAGACTCAGTCTGTCATGAGGGATTCACATAGAAGTAGCATTCTTTTCCAGTGACCACACAGGCTCCTCCCTTTGGGGCAGTTGGTGCCTCCAGGACATGGCAATTCTAATGTACGAAAGAGGCTAAACTATCTAGTTCTGATTGGAGTGTTTTGAATGTTTGCATAGTAATATTGAACTCTTGCCTTTTCAATTTTATAAACTCCAGTGCTTGGAAAAATAAATTCTCAATATTGAAAAGAACTTTGAACTGTGATATACAAGTACACGCCAAGTACGTTTGTGTGGTACTACCTTATGAACAAAGGAGCTCTTTTGTAACTTGGCTAGCATTTCAAGTGGAGTACCTGGTGACAGAAGGTGTTAAGTATATGAATCCATATCACCCTGATCATCTAGGTGGGAATTCTGTATATACCTCGTCACAGCAGAAGATAAAAATACCAGCATTGTTCACGAATAAGGTCACAGTGGAATGTGTGACCCTTCAGATTGGGGTTTGTTGTGCCTTGTCTTCTGTCATATTGGCATCTGCCATCTGCATCCTTCATGTGCCCCTGTCAGTCCATAGGAGCAGAACAGGTTGTAAAATATCTGATATAGCAGGCCTTTAGTTCAGTTTTGGCAGACATAAGGATCAATTTCGTCACCTGGCTAAATTAATCCAGAATTTTGGTCTATCCATATGCAATCCGTGGTGTCTGCAAGTCTAACGAAGGGAGCAAGTAAGCTGCCCTAAGTTATACAGGGCTGGTTTGTGAGCTCTTTGTCACATCTGGTGATTTGACGAGTGTTTGTAGCATAAGAGTTAAGTGTCAGAACTATTTATGACCTTGTGAGAGACTTAAGGATCCCAGGAGTGAAATCAAACTTCAGAGTTCGATTGCAATAACTCATTGGTATGTTGCCTAAGACAGTACTAGTATCATCTTTGTTTTCAATGCAGAGGGGAAAATTCCTTTCTAATGACCTTGGCAGAGCAAAGGACAGTCCTTGAACTCTCACAGTGTTTTCTCTGTGCACAATAGGTTCACCAAAAGGAGAAATAGTGTGACGTTGTTTCCTTGGTTGGTGATGCCATACCTTGGCATATATCCATTCTCTGGACTTGATCTGCCAGACACTCATATTGGCAGGAACAAAACTAAGTTCAGGTTCTTTTACATAATCTAGACGTTGACGTAGCCAAAAATCAGATTGATTAGTTAATGCATCCAGGGTTTGAAAGACTGATACAAAGGGGTGTTGGGTCTATGGTTGACCTGTTGGAAAAATAGTAAGGGTTGACAGAAGCAAGACACAGTTTGAAAAAAGATTCACAGTGGATGATCGGAGACAGAATAAGATAGATGGACATGGTCCCCAGTTGGCTTTTTAATAGGCAATCAACAAGCAGGGAAAAGCTGTCTCAAAGAAAAAGAGGGTTTTTTATTTTGATTGTTTTGTTTTGTTATGAGGGGTAATAGGGAGACCTAAAAGGGGAAGAAAATAGGTAGAAGTGGAAAATCGTGGTCCATGATCTTAGGAAAATCTGTCTTCTTCAAGGAAATACTGTCTGCTTCTGGGACCTGGGAATTGGCCCTGGAAATCTTTATTTTAAGGTCATCTATATGTGCTTTTCCAATTGTCTTGGGAGTACTGATCGGGATCTTGCTAGGTATGACTTGTGTGAAGCCAGGATGATATTTTGAAAAATTTTAATGGCAGTGTAGGTAGTCAGCAGTACTTCATAAGGGCCTTCCCAATGAGGTGATTTATGGGCTTTCTTCTAAAAAACCCCTTGATGTACACATGATCTCTTCTTTGAAAAGATAGCAAGGCTTGTCAGTTTGTGGAGGCCATGATCTTTTTCACAGTTGATAACATACTCCAAGTATATCAGTTAGTGCCAGTATATAGCTAGTCATAGCATCAAATTGTTCACTTAAATCCCCATAGTGTTCATTCAACACAGGAATGGAAGGTTTAGAGATGCCAGTAGGCATACGGCTGCTGAACAGTGTTTCAAAAGGAGTTAATCCATGTCTTCTATTTGGAGTACTACAAATTTTTATAGGGTCAGAGGTAGTGCTTCTGGCCATTTAAGTCCAGTTTTTTGACAGATATTTCCTAAAGTCTTTTCTTTTTTTCAGAATTTCGTTACGTTTTATTATACACTAACTGGCTTATAGTTTAGTTCTTTATAAAGAAAATGCTAAGAAAATTATAATCACGTTACATGGTTTAAAATCATAGTTCCAGATTTCTTTACCTGTAAGATGGAAGGGTCCAGCAGGTATATCAACATTCACAGACTTTAGTTCCGTTCAATGATATGGCACATCCTGCAAAATTAACTATTCACACACACACAAAATGTCTCAAATACAGTAAAAATGTACACGCAATGAAGGTAATTTACAATGACAAGTAAGGAATGTAATTTATCTTGGCCATGCTTCAGAAATTTACAATAGCCTCAGATAAGGCATAAAGCAGGAAGGACTAAGCACAGTTTAAAGTCCTTTTTATGTCTAGATTTCTACATTCCACTTGCCCTGAGGATTGGAGATGGTACAGGGTATGAAATTTTAATAAGTACCCCTAGAGATTTTGCAAGCAAGTGGTTTATCTCTGCTATAAAATGAGTTCCTTGGTCTGACTCAATCTATAAAAGGATTTCAAAATGAGGAGTAAGCTTAGTTATTAATTTCTTCGCCACTGTTGTGGCGTCAGCATGTCTAGTCAGATAGCATTCAGTCCATCCACTAAACATACAGACACTAAGCAAACAGGGAGAATATCCTAAACCTGGAGGTAAATCTATAAAATTTACTTGGAGTGCTGCAAGGGGTAGTGTGGGCCTTGGAGGACTTTCTGAGGAATGTTGGCTTCTTCCAGAAATTTAATGAAATTTACAAGTAGTGCACTGGGAAATATTTTGGTCAGAAATTTTGTAGATCCCAGTGCAAAACTCATTGTCTTTTAATTCCTAAATGATAGCCCGTCTGCACAAATGTCCCATCTGATGGGAGATAAGTGTAAGCCAAAAGGCTAAAACAAAAGGAGCCACAGGAAGCCCGTTCAGCCCAATATATATTCCATCTGATAATTACTTGGCACCCTTTTGTCTCCATTTATCTTTTTCAGATTTTGGGGCATTTGCCTGATGATCGACGGTATCATTTAGGGATAAAGGCAAGTGTATTGGGTGAAAAAAAGATAATGGGGTCCATTCTTGGCTGCGTACTTAGCAGCATTGTCCGCCCTGTCTTCCCCTGGAGGTATAGTATCATCAGTCTCTTTAGTGTGGACTGCACAACGAACAGTATTAATTTTAGCAGGGAGGTGAGTAGGTTGTAATAAGGCACCAATTTTATGTCTATTAGCACTAGGAGTACCAGCAGAGGTTTAGAATCCATGGGATTTCCAGATTGTGCCGACAGCATGGCAGACTCCAAAAGCATATCTGGACCCAGTGTAAATAGTGGCAGTTTTTCCTTTTGCCAGTGTGCAAGCTCTAGTAAAGGCTATAAAGTTGGCAGCTTGGGCTGACGTTATAGTGAGTAAAGAGTAGCCTTGAGTGTTTCATGTGGGGAAACTATGGCATAACCAGTTATTACATTTCCCTTGAAATTTCATTTACAAGAGCCATCACAAAGTATAATGAGTTGTCTAAAGGAGTGGCTGAGAAATCCTCTTGTGGCTTTGAAACCATTTCCATAGCTGCTA